TATATATTTGATATATTCGGTGGCTATTTTTAGTTTAAGAGATTACGTAGATGACGATTAAGGTTAATTCTTCAAATATAAATAAATTGTAGGGGCTAAAGTATAGTGACAAAAGAGTTCAGGTAGAGAATGTGCATATACTCAGTCGAGAAGCCCTACTTTTGATATTTTCATTTTCACTCTCTGTCTGACTGCAGAAAAATCGTTGTCAGAGTAAGAACATTTGTCAGTGCCACAAAACCAAAAAAGAAAAAGGGGGAAAAATTCTTCCCCTTTTCAACACACAGAACAAAAATCTTCGGAAAATGGGTGAACGTGAGAACTTCGTGTACATCGCTAAGCTTGCCGAGCAAGCTGAGCGCTACGATGGTTAGGGTTTCATTCCTCTTTTTCCTTCTTATTTTTTCGGTCTACATGTAAATTAAGCTTTTCTTTAGATCTCTATATGCATAGATCTAAGTTAATGTTTGTGTTCTTTAAGTTTACTGCTTAAAAGCTTAAGTAGAGTAGTTGTGTATTCGCTTACTCCTTATTTATTACATAAAGCTTCATAATCTAAAATCAAATTTCAATGCTTTAAAATTTCAAGTTTCAATGAGCTACTAGCTGCTACTGTGTATTCGAAGAATTTGCAGGCTGGGCAATTTTTAGGAGAAGTTAATTTTTTTTATTGATTAAAAAGTTTTTGCATTAGAGAAAACTAGTGTATGGATAATTGTAGCTTTTGTAAAGAGTTGCCTAGTACCTGTGTTAGTGGGAGGTAGGAAGTACCCAGTGGAATAATCGATGTGTGTGTTAGTGGGAGGTAGGAAGTACCCAGTGAAATAATCGATGTGTGTGCAAGATGGCCTGGACACCACTGTAATGAAAAAGGATTGTAGCTTTTCTGAAGTTCTCGGTGAGCATTTTTTGCTGCAGAAGTCCTTCAAGAATCAAGACACTTCTTCCCCAAAAATGTTTTTGTTCAGAACTTCGACTAGTGAAATTTTTCCTTCACTGAGCCGTTCAGAACAGATTCTATATGTTCTATGACCGATTGGATTTGCTTAATTTTATTCCGTACTCTTTTTGTAATATTTAGAGAATATGTTACAGAGATGGTCGATGCGATGAAGAATGTTGCAAATATGGATGTTGAATTGACAGTGGAAGAGAGGAATTTGTTTTCTGTTGGTTATAAGAATGTGGTTGGAGCTAGGAGAGCATCGTGGAGGATCTTGTCTTCCATCGAGCAGAAGGAAGAGTCTAGAGGAAATGAGCAGAATGTGAAGCGGATTAAGGAGTACCAGCAAAAAGTGGAGTTAGAGCTCACCGACATTTGCAATAATATCATGACCGTGATTGATGAGCATCTAATTCCTTCATGTACTTCTGGAGAATCAACTGTGTTTTACTACAAAATGTGAGGCCCTTGTATTATATAGTTTGTTTTGAGTCAGAAATGTTGAGTTTGGTGTTTAGAAAGTTCAGAACTTCATAGGTTGTTCATTTTTGTTTAGCTCGTTTTATCTTTTGGTGCAGGAAAGGGGATTATTATCGATACCTTGCAGAGTTCAAAACTGGGAATGACAAGAAAGAGGTTTCTGATCTGTCTTTAAAAGCATATCAGGTATTCAGTTACTTAAGCATGTAAGAAAAAAATTATACTGTTTTTATAAAGAAGAATACAATGATACATATTGTCTGTTGCCTGTGATCTTCCTCTTATTTCTTGGTTGATTCCTTTTTAATGAGTGCCAGCATCCTTATCTAAAAGTAAGTGCTAGCATATGCTCTGCTCGATTGCTCCATGTCTGATTACTTAAATTGAGGCTATTCACTCTCTAGATATAACTTTTGTATTTGAAACTATCTAAATATTCATTCTGATTGAAGATTGAGTTCTTTGGTGAGAAACTACTGGGTTTGTTGTTGTTGTTATTGTTGTTGTTGTTGTTGTTGTTGTTGTTGTTGTTGTTGTATTGAAGATTGAGTTCTTTATGCAAAAGAGAAGATTTCAAAAGGTTGATTCGGTGGAGTGGGAAAAGTCGGAGATTTCGAATGTGGAAGGATATTTTTTTTTATCTGTATTGCTTATGTTGAACTGCAGCACGCGTGAGAAAGATCCTGTTTTGTCACTCATCTATCAGGGCTTGGAAAGAATCCCGCTTAAGATGGTCAATTACTTTTGGTATGTCTTATTAAAATGTAATCCACGACTGTTATTCAATCCAACATTTTACCTCTAATCCTATCTGAGGAAAGATAAGCAATGGTTGGCATGCTCGATGTGAGTGCTATCTTCATTTTGGAACACTTCACTGCAATTCTGAAGCTCCTAAGAAGGTTTTTGGAGTGGAGATTTGGTTGTTATTGAATGGTTGATGTTTAGCTTCATGATTTGCTAAAGAAGAATTTGATACAGTGGATAACCTTTTTATGAATGAAGACTGTTATCGAGGTTTGGCTGTGGTAATATCCTTGAATAATTCTACTGGATTAGTTTGCATTTATTGTTTCTTGGTTTTCAACCAATCCTTTTAATTTCTAAGATGCATGGCAGTGGACGTAAATGTTAACATCTGCATGCTAGCTGATAACAATGTAGCTGACAAATACAGACTATAAGATTGATATACCCATGATCTATTGGTTATATCCTATGGAGCCTCAGTTTTTTGCCACAATGCCACTTGTACCAGGGCTCTCCTTAGTGTATTACTTTTGTTTTCTTTCAGCTTCATGATGCAGCACATGGCATAAACATGATGTTTAAGTGTGCAACAAATTTCTTATTTTTCTTGTAACATCTACTAATTTGTGTCAACTACCACATTGTGTGCCCCAATTTGGTTACTTGGATGTTGGGAAGTAAAAGGCTTTTCGGGTTAAATTTGATTGTTAATGTGATATAGGGCCTCTCCCCTTGTCATTTTCTTCCATTCCCCTCTCTTCATGTTACATGTGTAGTGATTGTATTTGTTTTCTAACATGTGTCTACTTCCACTTATTGTTCGTTCTAAACCATGTGTACAGACAGCTACAACTACTGCGGAGGCTGAATTATCAACTACCCATCCCATTCGGCTGGGTTTGGCTTTAAATTTCTCTGTTTTCTACTATGAGATAATGAACTCCCCTGAAAGGTTTGTGTGGTTTTCATTAATTGAAGTCTACTCGCAACATGTTTTTCATCTCAGTTGATTAGAATCTGTTTTCATCAGGGCATGCCACCTGGCTAAGCAAGCTTTTGATGAAGCAATATCGGAGCTGGATGCCCTTAATGAGGACTCCTACAAAGATAGCACCTTGATTATGCAGCTTTTGAGGGACAATCTCACCTTGTGGACTTCTGACATTCCAGAGGATGCAGGTATGTGCAAGGCATATTCTCAAGGTTGCTTTGGTTTTTGCATAATCTACTAGTTGCTGGTTCATTAACTTTCTACCTGCTCTATTCTCCTCGTAGTTGCTACGGTAAACTTGAGTCGTCGTGGGTGCTAAGTTGCCTATCACAGATGAGAGATATCCTCTGAACGAATTAGTTGATCTATTCCGACCTTTAGATGGTATTTAGCGTGGAATGCACTGTACTGTTAGCAAATTATTTTCGGGAATTAAAACACTAGGGGACAAAAAGAAGAGTTGTACACGTCCTTTTTGTAGGGAGAAGGGAAAAATCGGGCAGAAAATACTAATAGTTGGAGATTTTTTTTCTTGTTCATACAGTGTATTATCAACTGTTGGATTATTTTAAGAAAGGATCTGCANGTTAAGACTTTTGAGTTGACAAAGGCTATAACAAAGGTGCCCTCTGTGGCACTACAACAATGCAACCAAATTGAATATATTTCGTTCTTTGTTACCATCAAGAGGAAACTCATCAGTCTGATATACCATATTATTGTTAAAAGTTCTCTCTTTTTCCTTTCTGAATAGAAGATGTACAAAGGGGAAATGCTGCAAACAAAGCGAGTGGAGTTGAGGATGCCGAGGTGGGTTCTTTATACATCTTTGTCTATGTTTTGGGATTAATGTAGTTTCCCTACTCATTCTAAATTTTGGTGTGCGCTTGCAGTGATGGGCAAATGAGTAGAACCTACCATGTGTGTTGCAGAGGGGAGAATGATGATTCATCCAGGCGATTGTTTATTAAGTCTTAATAGATACTTTGTTTCACCTACGGTTGCATCTTGCTGGAGATTGTTTTCACATTAGTCGGATGTCATATCTATAGTGAATTGTTTGAGTCATTATAAATGATTGGTTGGTCTCTAGCTGGTTTTATTTTTCAGATGACAGCTGCAGCTGAATGGAGGATATCAGCTGTGCTTGTCTCTCAAACCTTTATGATCCATCCTGAGTTTTGGTATAGTTCGTGCCTCCCACATGTAGCTTTAAAGCTATAAGCTTTCTTTTATAGCGTTGGTGTGCAGATAATATTCTGGAAGGAGAAGGTGTCTGCATCTCACTCTTTATATCAAGAATTACACTACTTTCTATCTGTTAAAAATCCCCAACTTTTGGAATTTTTTGGAACATTTGCTTTAAAAATGATAAAATCCGACGTTTATGATTTAGTAATAAAGTGACAAATATGAAACGAAAAAAGAAAAGTTCACTGAGCTTTTGGCTTGGGTTGACCATATTTGCTTACATCAGCAACTAACTGATACTGTTGGTTCAAGACTCCTGTAACAAAAATGTCTCTTTAGAGTGATGACGAACAATCAGTGCATGTTCTTTTGACAATCTAACATAGACCCATTCCAAAAGTTTGTTTTCTTTGTTTATTTTCCTTTTGGAAATGCTAGTAGTGCCCTTTGTGCAGTAGAATTCCAGTTTATCAAGAGGATGATGCATTTTGGCTGAAACTGCTTAATGAGCAGTAAAGAGTGCATCCTCATTAGGTGTCCCATTTAAACTGTAAATTTAAGGCAAAAATCCAAAAACACCCTTCAAGATACTCTACTGCTTAGAAACTCTAGACTTCTTTTTAAGCGCAGTAGTAACATATTCAGTCATGATTCTTCTCTTCACACTCCTGCCTCTCTTAGAAACACCAACAACATCATCACCTTGAGTAGAACCACCATATCCATCACGTCCAACAACATCACCTTGACTAGGAACACCATATCCATCAAGTCCAACATTAGTAACTTTAGTAGAACCACCATATCCATTACGTCCAACATCATCACCTTGAGGAGAACCACCATATCCATCACGCCCAACAACATCACCTTGAGTAGAACCACCATATCCATCTCGTTCAACATCAGTACCTTGCGTAGCAACCTGAAGGACCAAATCATGTAAAAAAAATTAAAACTATAAGAACGTCGATACATTAATACATAAAATTTTTAGGGAAGTAGTCACCTCAGTAATAGTTGACTGCTTTGTCAAGTTAATACTCAACCTTCATCAGCAGCTTGACTTCCTGTTACTTCATTTGTACCAGAATTACCCCACATATCAGTGTAAAAAATTTCTGAGAATATTAACTGTATTAATCCATTTCACTAAATTAATTAGAGGATTAGAATAGTCGCGTCAGTTTTCCGGCCAAAATTTGTATCTTCCGGTCACTTTTATCCTTTTTTATGTCAACTAGGTTTTACTAAAATGACTTTTGTGTCACCAGAAAAAAAAAAGGTGACTTTTGTGTTACAGAACTTAACTTGAATGACCATTGGTGAAATTTATCCCAAAGCAATCCAGTAAAATGTGTTAGAAATGGGAAAAAACATTGTACCACACAATTTGCATTTGCTTGCCACTCTTAAAAATCAATTGCCATGGTTGTCAATCAATCAATCAACTATATATGCATCAATCACTACTACTTGTATCCACTATTTGGAATTCTATTTCATTTGAATAATGCTGGTAAAAATCTTATGCAACAACGAAATTAGAGAAATCAGTACATCTTTTTCTAGCGGATCGAACCTTCTTTGTCAGTTGGTGGCAGCATAATATTCGGCATTGAGGAAGCTGAAGCATCATTGTTAGTCTTCTTCTTCTTTGTCTTCTTCTCGTGGCAGTGATTTGAGTAGTCTCTAACAGCTTCATCAGCAGAGAAACAAATGGTTTGAAGAGAGGCGACACAGCACTCTTGCCAGTTGAGTTGAGTTAGGTGTTTGATTGCTTCATCAACAGAAACAAACGCTTCTTCTGATGATATTTCCTCTTGTAATGTGGAGCGACTAAGGTCCATTAACTCCATTGTTTTCACCGCCTCAATCAGAACGTTCTGTGTAAACAATTTTGGCAAGGTAAGTAAACATTAATTAGCTATAATAATAAAAAATAGGAACGCCGTGAGCTATATTTTTTTACCTTTGTAGTCCCCATTTTTTTGAATCCGTGCATGCTAATGATCTGCAAAAATCATCAGTATATACAGAAAAGGATTAAGCTGGATTTATATGTCTCGAATATTCCCATTGCACAAGGAACAGAGACTCAGCACAGATTGATAATACATTTTATGAAATTGGCAGTTTCAAGCATCAAAACAACTCTACAAATAAATTATAAACAAATTTGCTTTGCAAATTCACATTATTGAGCTCCGATTAAAAACAAGTTGGAGAGATTCTCACCTCCGAGCATGAAATTTAGATAAACAGCGAAACAGTATAGAAATAGTACCAGTTTAAAACAAGCAGATCTATGCAGATTTTATCAACAATTTTGTAATATTGAACAACAAAAATATTATAATAAAATTCAAGGAATCGATCGGAACTGTATCTAATTCACTAATACAATACATTGTAGAGTAGAGTAATCTCAGTTTATATACAGACTGATATACAGAGATTGATGGCCAGTTCAGATTGATAATGCTTTTTATTGAAATTGGCAGTTTCAAGCATCAAAACGACTACAAACAAAATTCCTTTTTAAAAAGCCACATTATTAAGCTCAGAATACAAAGAAACAAGTAGGAGAGACGTCACTGAGTATGAAATTTAGGTAAAACAACGAAACAGTGAAGAAATACTCTAAAACAAGCAGATGTTAGCGTATTTTCTCAAACGATTTTTGAAATACTGAACGACAAAAGGAAATTATAGTCAAGCAAATCGATCGGAACCGCATTTAATTCACTATACAATAGACTGTAAATTCAGAGAGGAGCTAAGAACAGAGAGAGATACCTCCTTGAGATTAGCGATATTGAGATCATCGAGTTGCTTGTGACTGTGAATAATATCCAGGTAATTCTCTAAGCTTATCTTCTTCTTCTTCTTCTGTGTTTTTCCGCTCATCCTTCTGCCTCCATTTCCACTCATTTCCATCTCTCTCTCTGTTTCTCCGCGTAATTTTGCGTGTGTTTGTGAAAGTATGTGGATTTTGAAATTTTGAGCGTATGCGGGATATTTATATAGAGTACTAGTGATAGAATTAATGGTAACACGTTAAAAGCATTTTGGGGTCCACTTTCCCGCCACTACAGTGGAAGTAAACACAATACAGTTTTTTTTCCCCCTAACATTATTATAATCCAACTCATAAGGTTTGTGTTTACCATTATTTGGTGGTAAAATAAAAATAGAAAGGAAATATCTACAAATTTAATGGATGTAAGCTTCGCAACAGTAATCTTACTTGTGGTTCGGTATATTATACTTATTTTTAATTTTCTTGTAACCATTAGAATATTCAATTAAAAGATTCAATGTTTATCCTTTCATTACATGATATTGCCCAAAAAAAGAGGTGGCAGATGTAGCGTATTAGCTACAAATTCAATGGAACTCAATATTTTTGACATGAAATACATTCAAAAAATACTAAACCTTTCACAAACGTTATATTTTGAACCCTTAATTCTAAAAGAATAATAATGTTAGAATTAAGTGAGAATCATTCAATTGCTAATATCAACACTGGTATACGAATCGAGAGATGGAAGTAGCCCTTCCCTTTACCTTTCTACTTAAATATCAAGCTTTAATTAGCAACACGATTAGTACTCGTGACATACACCTATTACACATTTTGTGCCTTATTTCTTTACCGTTGAACTAAAACCCCATTTTCTCTTTTTTCTCAGTGGAAACATAACCGTCTTCGACATCAAGAAAAAAGAATCAGATCTAGGGTGTGTTTGGTACGAAGAAAAATATTTTTCTGGAAATTGTTTTCTTGGAAAATGAATGGTGTTATCACTTATTTTCCCATGTTTGGTTGGTGAATGAAAAACTTTTTCCGAAAAATATTTTTTAATGTTCGATTATTACAGAGTAGATTTTTTTTTTTGAATATAATTTTCTATGATACTCTTCTCATACCCACCCTCCCCCCAATTCCCATGTT